TACGGCTGGGCGGGCGCGGAATGGACGGATGTGTCGAGGTGTCGTGTTTCTTTTTGTCTTACTGGGATTCAATGTCATAAAAAAAAATTTAAGAATTTTTTTTTTTCCAGCTCACCAACCTCTTTTCATAATGTACAGAGTACAATGCCCAGACATCTGGAACATGCCCAAACCGGGCAACTGCAGAAGCGTCCACCGCTGGCGCTGATCAGCGACGATAATGTGTCGCTGCATTCGTCGACAGTCGTACAAATTACAGCTTCTCCCTCCGCGTTTATCCTCCCAGCTTTTGCTTCACAGCCACGCTTGGCAACACGACTCCGCACACGAGTCGCTCCTTCCCATTTTCTGAACTCACCATTATGATGGTTCTTTCCTCGTGCCCATCAGCGGTTGGCAGGAACCTACCCACCTCTTACGTACATCGTAGCTCTTTCCCAAATTTCTTGCGCACGACGTAATAGCGCGCTTTCCCTCTGAAGCTACTCGTCTCAGCGACGCCTTGTCAATCTCTTCGGCACCTTCTGACTGCAACCCCACTCTGCGCTCTGGCACTCTTGCACTTTTTGACGTTTGGGTGTCGTTGGGACTAAAGCTTGGCAGATCCGCTTGCATAGGCTGCCTCTTTTTCGCCCCGTTATTTCCCTGTTTGAGCGTGTTTCCGCATGCTCGCTCCTTCCAAGCTAGTGCTCCCTTGGAGCTTGGCTCTTTGTGCTACCTTTCTGCTTTCTACCCCCAAGCTTCGCAGCTTTGCAAGCTCCCCCCCCCCTCTTTCAACTTCCCACATTCTCTTTCCTCGATGCTACCAGAGCAATACCACAGCACCAAACAACAACAATTAAATCTTACGTCTGCAGCACCAGACCCGTCCGGCCTGTCTCGGCAAAAGCTTCTTTTCCATTTGGTCACCGGTCGTCCGAATTTATCACTCAATTAGGTCCACACGCTCGTACGAACGTGAGATACCACAACAGCCATATCACACTGTCGACAGTTTCGTTGCGCCTTTTGCGTGTTTTTGATTACTCTTGAGCTTCCACGGCAGTCTCCTTTCGGTTCTATTCAGCTCTGTTGAGGTCCATCTCTCGCAGGTCGTCAATCAATATTGCACTGGGCCTCGTTTAAACAAACCCCACGTCCCACAACATACGCCTCAAGACTCGCATCTGCATCTTGTGCATCCGGGCACAACACACCAATTCAACAGCACCTTACTTCTGGTAGGTCCATCTCTGTTGTCAAGTTGTTCCTCTACGGTTGCCCATCATTCCCCGTTCCATGTTGATTGCGCGTCGGGCGTCGGGCGTCGCAAGTCGTACAATACCGATGCGCGGTCGCTTCCCTGTGATCGCAATCTGCACGTCGTCGCGAGATGGGCAAGTGTCATGTTCATCTCCATTATCATACTCCGTTCGATAGATCACTCCGTCGCCTTTTTTACAATTTCCTTTGCCCAGGCCTGCCAAGACATGCTGTCCAATATTCTCAAGAGCAGTGCCTCCCTCGGCGCCTGCCGTGTTGCCCCAGCCTTGCCTCACCTTTTTGTTTCTGACCTCGACGTGCTCTTGGTTCCACTGATTCCACACACGTCGTTCCACCGACGAAACACCGTGGGACACCCCGCCGTCCATCCCCCGGCCGTCTCCTCTCTCACGTTCCTGTCTATGCTCGATGCAACCCTTGATCACAATGGCTCGCCTTCTGCTCGTTTAAAACATCTTCGTCCCTTATCTGGCAACCGTGATGGGTGCACGGTCTGATATTGCCCCATCTTTTTGTTCTTCCTGTCCTTCTTTCTACTTTGCATACTAGGAGCTCGACACCGCTTGTTTCCCTCCCTACGTCCTGCCCACTTGAACCCCTGTATCAAAACCGTTACCTCGAGCTCGACCCCGTGCCTATGTCTATTGTTGTGTAATCAGTCTCCTGTCGTTCCCGCGGAAATCGTGATGATGTACATTCATCCGCGGTAGCTTGTTGGATTGTTTTCGTTACTGACAGCTATTTGAAGACTCTTATTCAGTCGAGTATTTACGACTCGGTAAACCGAGTATTGTCCAGCTGCAGTTCGTGTGAAAACGCAGAGGTCAATTTTGTGCTCGCTCGATTCCACTGTCTGTCGACTCCGATATTTTCCAATAGTCCAGAATCCCTTTGCATTAAACAGTGCTGAACGGGGGAAGACAGCCAACAACAGAACTGCTCCCGAAACGGACGAGAAGAATCCAACTCGCCTCCCATCGCCATCCATTCCGTAAACTGCGCCTTTCCGAACTGGCCGGTCCGCCCCGTCTTATTTTGCCATTTGACATTTTTCTGCCACTTGGGCAATTTTTCCCCTTCATTCTCCAGTTTTTGCGTGGGTTTTCTGTCGTTCTTTTGTCATTCCCAATTCACAATGTGTAAGTTTCGGTTACGACAACCGCCAACCCACCCCCAAGCCTCCTTAGCACCACCTTAGAAACGCCACTATGTCTCGTCCCAAGTGCCTTTGGCGCTCACTCTTTCACACTCCAGTCACTTCGTATCACACTATATACCCCGGCTTGCTCTCCCTCCCCGTCTTTGATAAAGAAACATCATACCTCACTTCTTCCTTTCCTCGTCTCCTCGCAGGGGCCGTCATCTTATTTCTTTCCATTTTGTCCTGAATGACTCTTTGTTTATAATCGCTTGTCTCTCTTATCCCAGTCCTTAATCTCTTCTACCTCGATATCACCTAGACATGGGTTGAGACGTCACTCGTGCTTTTATTGTTGCAAAACTACAAGACGAGTTGTGCATCAACCACATCCTGCAACAACGTCACTGTTGTGTCTATATTTTCACCCTTACTACCCACTCCACCCGCACATCTCACCTACCATGCCGCAACCAAATGATAATCCCAACGGCAACGGTGCCGATGCTAACAAGAATGTCGACAATGAAGCGTCTGTAGCTTTCCGCCGCGGCATCCAGAGGGCCGTTAGTGGCCTGTACGGATCCACCGACAATGATGACACCGGCAACCGCGTGGACGGCATCCTTCGTGGGGGCGCCGGCAACGAAGCTGCGCCCCTGCTGGTAGGCGCTGGCGCCAACTCGCGCCGCAGCACGTCTGGTTCATACGTCCCACACGTCCACCTATCCGGTGAAGAACACGGCTTTGCCCGCCGCCTGCTCTTCGACAAGTACCACACCCCGGGCTACGACAGCTCCAACGTCTTTGTCCGCTACCTTGCCCACGTCCTCAACATCACCAAGGCCACGCTCTACTCCAGCCCCGTCAACGTCCTGCTTTTCTTCGTCCCCATCGGTATTGTCGCCGGCGCCCTCGGCTGGAGCGCCGTCACTGTCTTTACCCTGAACTTCTTCGCCATCATCCCGCTCGCTGCCGTCCTCTCCTTTGCTACTGAAGAAATTTCTGTGCGTCTCGGCGAGTCCTTGGGCGGCCTGCTCAACGCTACCTTTGGCAATGCCGTCGAGCTGATAGTCAGCATTGTCGCGCTGCGTCAGGGCCAGATCGAGGTCGTTCAAGCGTCCATGCTGGGCTCCATTCTTTCCAACTTGCTGCTTGTCTTGGGCATGTGCTTCCTGCTTGGCGGTATCTGGAACATGCGCGACCGTGACAACCGGCCTATGGAGCAGAGCTTCGCTACGGTCACCGCTCAGACCAGTTGCTCGCTGATGGCACTGTCCATGGCGTCTCTGATAATTCCGGCGACGGTAAGCCAGCTGCTTTCCCCCCAGCTTTCCGATTGATCCAGGCCGGCTCGACATCCCCGCTTACTAACTCTCCGTCCAGCTTTACAGCGCCATCGACGATTCCGCCGACAAGGCGGCCAAGGACGCCTCCATCCTGGTCCTGTCGCGCGGCACCGCCATCATCCTCCTGTGCCTCTATGTGCTCTTCCTCTTTTTCCAGCTGCGCACCCACTCGACCCTCTTCGACCCCGAAACCACCCCTTCCGCTAGTGTCAACGGTCTTCGCCGCGACGATGTTAGTGACGACGAAGATGATTCCCCGGCTGGTGAGGAGGAGGAGGAGCCTCACATGAGCCCCTGGTCCGCTGCCGGCGTGCTCGTTGTTGTCACCGTGCTTGTGTCCATCTGTGCTGAGTACCTGGTCGACAGCATCGACGAGATTGTCGCGTCTGGCAAGATCTCCAAGAGCTTCATCGGCTTGATTCTGCTGCCCATTGTCGGAAACGCCGCCGAGCACGTTACCGCCTGTGTTGTCGCTACCCGCAACAAGATGGATCTGGCTCTGGGAGTTGCACTCGGGTCCAGCATCCAGATTGCCCTCCTTGTCACGCCCTTCCTCGTCATTGTTGGCTGGTTGGTTCTCGACCAGCCCATGTCGCTGCGTTTCGAGACATTCGAGACAGTCGTTTTCGCCCTCAGCGTGCTCGTTGTTGCCTACACGGTCCAGGACGGCAAGTCCAACTACCTCGAGGGTGCTATGCTTATGGGCATGTACATTATCATTGCACTGGCGTTCTACGTCAGCCCTGGCGATGCCCTCGACAAGGCCATGTCTGGCGTTTACAGCGTCTTCTCCGGCTTGGCGCCCGGCGCGTGAAGCATCACCTAAGAGGAAGTCCACACAATACACGATTGAATGTACAACTATAAAAGAACTTGTATACATGTATTCGACAGCACACACTTCGCAAGATTGGGGGAGGAAACGATGTGACAATAATTTCCTCTATTTTCTTTTATTTGCCTCCTCAGGATACACGATTTTCATATGTACGCATAGGTTTTGGTCATTTCGGTTGTTTTCTATTTTCTTTGGTACTTCATATTGGACTTTGGTTATTTGTTTTTGAACTCTTATACGCGCTGGTCTTTTTTTGACTTTTGACATTGGTTTCAACCCGTAACAAGACTTTTGATATCCATTGTGTTCCTTTTGGTTATCCCAAATGCTAAATGCTATGCGTTTTGAATATAAAGCTGCACCACATACGCCACTCTTCTCTAGCATATGTGTGCACCAGAAATGCTTTCTCCTACAGCTGCGGCTTAGCCATCGGCAGCACCACACCTTGCTTCTGAAGCACCCGCGGCTTCGTCGCGTCCTGGAACGCAAACGTTGTCGACCACTCGGGGCCCACCGGCAGACGCAGCGACCGCTCGTACTGGCTGCGCGTTTCAAATTCGTGCGGCAGCTGCGATGCCAGGTACTTTTCGTTCTTGTGCACCCGCCGTTCGCTGATAATCACCTTGTCCATCTTGGCGTCCCGGCGCACGACCATCTCGGCCTTGTTCTTGCCATTCCTGCCGTCCTTGCCGTCCTTGTTCGCGACCGCCCGCTGGTCTCGCTTGACGGCCCGCTTGCTCACGCCGTCACCGATCCACGAGCCCCATCCGGGCATGGGCGCGCTGTTCTTGTTCTTCTTGCCGCCCACCCGCGCTTGCTCCTCCTCCCACGCTGCCGCCTCCTCGGCCGCCTGCCGCACCTTTTCGGCGGCAAACTCAGCCGCCGCGCCGTCCTCGCCCAGCGCCTTGCGCAGCAGCAGCTCGTTCTCGGCCCGGAATTTAAAGTACTTGCTGCGGTTGGCTGCGCCGCGGGTGTCATCCGCGTCGTCGCTGTCGGAACCCGACGAGGACGTCTCGGACTCGTCGACGCCGTCGTTGGCTTGGCTCGCACGGCCGGCGGCAGCAGCAGCAGCTTTTTGAGCGGCCTTCTTCGCCGCAGCAGTCTCCTTTGTGGTGGAACGGTTCTCGGCGACCGTATTCTGCGCCAGTACGTCATCCACAACAGCGGACATGACGAGGCGGCCGTCCGCCGTCAAACCGGGTGTGGCATCCGCGTCAGTTCCCGTCTTCTTCGACTTCTTGTCTTTGTTACTACTAGTCTTGGCCACCACTGTCCACGAGCCTGCATCACCCGGTGCCGAAGACGTACGGGCGGGGAATGTGTTGGAGACGTCAGCGGCGGTGGCAGCGGCGGCGGCAGTCTCACGCTCAGCAGTGGCTTGTTTCCGGCGCTCCTGGCGGTTGGGGCCAGTGTTGGCGTTGGCAACGCGGCCCGTTTGGCCCGCAACAGGGCCGTAGCTGCGACGACCGACAGCCTTGTCGGCCGCATCGTTGTCACCATCTTCACCGTCAACATCAAAGCCAATCATGTTCTCGTCGCTGTCGTCGCCGCGATCAAGATCACGCATAATCTCCGCCACGGCCTCGTCGTTGGCCTTTTTGCGTGCCAGCTCTGCCTTTTTCATAAAGGCAATGCCCATCAGACCCTTGGGCTCCGCCTCGTCGTCCATGCCACCTGCCGCTGCTAGCTTCTGCTTTGTCCGCAGTTTGAATGCCTCCTCGTCGCTTTCCTCGTCAAAGCTGTCGCTATCGCTCTCTTCGTCTGCTTCGCCAGCCTTGCCAACGCGGCCACCACCGACACCGGCACCGTCCACGCGCCGCCGCAGCTCCTCATCCTGCCGCGCCATATCCACCAGACCCGTGCGGAATTCATCGTCCCACGCGGCACGGTTTGTGTTCTTGGCCCGCTTCGCCCAGCGGCTGTCGCGGTGCCGAGCGCCCATGCGCTCCAGCGCCCGCCGGCGGTGCGCCGCATCACGCTCTGCCTCCGAATCGTGGTCTTCGTCGCCCTCGTCGTGCTCTGCATCCGAAGCGTCCAGCGCCTCCTCAGCACGTTGCCGCTCGCGACGGTGCACGCGGCGGTAGGCTTTACTCTTGATCTTCTTGATGCGCTTGGCGCGCGCCTGCTCGCGCGACTGCAGCTCGCGGGCGCGGCGCTTCTGGCCAATAATGGCCTTGAGGGCGTCCGGCGACAGCATGCTGGCCTCCTCCTCGGCCTTCTGGCGCTCTATCTGCTTTTGCTGGGCGCGCTCCTCGGCCTGTGCTTGCGGGCCGAGGCCGCTCTCCTCCATGATGGACAGGATCGTCTTTTCGAGGTCTGTTTGGGCGGACTTTTGGTTGATGGGCAGCAGATTAGCGGTATCGAGGCCCGAGGTAGCGAGCGCGCCGGCCACTTCAAAGGTCAGGTGCTCGGCACGGCGGTTCTGCTTGACGGTCTCGGTCCAGCGGTCGAGCGTCTCGTGCGCCTTGTCGGCGGCGGCGATGCGCAGCTGGCGGTCTTGCTGCATGGGCAGCAGAGGCACCTCGAGCGTCTTGTCTGAAGATGCACCGACGGCAGCCTTGATGGACTTTTTCAGGCTGCGGTCTTTGCTGCCGAGCTGGGCGTTGAACTGGTAGGGGTTCGCGGCGCGAGCTGCGTCGTCGCCGTCGCTGTTGTCTTCGTCACTGTCGCCGTTTTGGCCCGCGGCATAGGCAGAGGCGATGCTCTGAAGGGCGTCCGACTTTCCGAGACTGGCATCCTCGTCGTCACCGTCCTCCTCGTCCTCCTCGTCGCTGTCGTACTCGGACGAGTCTGTTGACGACAGCTCGTCACTACCACTACCATCATCACCGTCCGAGCCAGAACCAGACAGGCCCGATACGTCCGACGTGTCGTCAGATGCTGATAGATCGCTGTCACCGGCCTGCTGTCTCTTTTTTTTCCGTGTCTTGTCCTTCTTGGAGGAGGACGCGGCTGCCTCGTCATCTTCGTCCGACGACACAATGTCCAGCGCCGCAGCCAGGTCAATGGCCTCGTCGCCCAGGTCAGCACCATCGTCACCAACGTCCTCATCATCTTCTTCATCATCCTCGTCGAAGCCGTCAAATTCGTCCGCAGTCTGTTTTGGCTTTGACTTTTTGTTCTTGTTCTGTTTCGACGAACTACCACGGAAGGCAAACGCATCGAAGATCTCGTCGTCGTCGCTGTCGCCAAACGCCTCGTCGCTGTCAATCTCCGAATCGTCGTCGTCACTGCCGACGCCCTCGCGCCACTCATTGCCAGAGCTGTCGCTGTGAATGTCGTTGGACGAGCCGTCCGAGTCGGCGCCGCCGTCATCGTCGTCGTTGCGGCTGTTGTTGGGCCGGCGTCGCTTGGCTGCACCGCCACCGCCCTCGTCGTCGTCGTCGTCGTCGCCGTCATCTCCATCGTCATCGCGTCGGCGCTTGGTCTGGTCGCGCTCAATCTCTAGGTCGCGCACGCGCACACCTTTTGTACGGGACTCGCCGATCTGTTGCTCGGCCAGCGCCATGACGTCCACACGGCCACCCTGCCGTGTCCGGGGGGCGCCGCCGCTGCTCCGTGTGCTAGACGGGCCTCCACCTGAACGGCCACCAGCGCCGCCATTACCGCCAGTCTTCTTGCCGCTCTTCCGCTTCTTGTTCGGGTCTGCCAACAAGGGCCTCCCGTGGGCCTGGCGACCAGGCATCGCTTGTCTTTTTGTGTTTCTTGGGAAACGGTCGATTTCGCTGAATGAATATGTGAATGGTCGATAAATTGTTCGCCGAGTACATTCGCAAAAGAAACACGCAACAATAGGGCGGTTTGCGTCTGGTTTTTCAAGTCGGGGTAAGTTGACTTTTGGATGGTAGCTGCTACTTTGCCCATACAAAATTTCCAGCCAGCGATTTGGCAAACAATTCGAAACTTTTTTTTTAGTGGGGTTTTTTGCCGCCTTTTATCTTGGTACAAAAGGCGGTGAAAGGCCATCAGTTGCGGGTCGCCTGTCTTGGCCGAGTCCGCCATGGTGAGAGCGGTTATCCAATTGAAATTTGAAGCATCGAAATCGCTTTCTGAGACTCTGGAACCACTTCAATCGACCACCAGCAACCCGACGACGGCAAGCCAACAGCACCACCTTTCCAGGCGCACCTCCCGAACGAGTATTTTCTAGCGATACCCCCTTAGTCTCTCTTCACTGAGCCAGAACAGTGACAGCAATTGGCCCATGACCCATCGTCGACGCCGAACTGACTGTCGACATTGAACCAAGACTGAAGCCCTTCGTCCCATCAACCGTTCCCTTACCCTCGCCCTCTCACGCTCACACACAATGCGCGCCACCGACATTCTTCTGCGGCCGTACCGCAAGCTGCGGCTCACTGTCAAGGACGTCAACAAGGGCTTCTACAAGGGCACGCGCACCGGCTCCATGGGTCGGCATACCAAGAAGGGTGGCTATGTGATTGAGTATGAGAAGGTGCGCACCTACGTCGTGCCGAGTCTGGTGGACTTTAACGTATGCTGCCATCCGTCCCCTGGCCCCTTGTCGCGATTTACAAGATAATTTAAAAAAAAAAAAAAAAAAAAAAAAAACATGAGCATCGCTAACCTCTGTAGCTCACCCCCTTTGTCACAAAACGCGTGCGTCCGACGTTTGGCGTGTATTCCCAGAGCGAAGGCCCGCTCAAGGGCCCGCGGAGTCCGTCGCTGTATCTGGCCCGGTGGAAGGCTGAGAACGGTCTGGACTAAGCCTATGTGCAGACAAAGTAAAAGGGAATGAAGGAAATGAAAGTTGAAGAAGAGCGTTTGATTTACTTACTATCTGTACATTTTTTTCATATTGCATAGCTCGGATGGCGGAATACCTCTAGATACAGGAGACAAGGAATTGTGTACAAAAGACAAAAGGAGAAACATGAAAGCTGTACGAATAGAACATATCGGTTGGCCATAGCCGGGCTTTGGAGGATGTATAACCCACGGGTAACGATACGATTAAATTCACCAAATTTCACCTCGGACAATACCATCCTAGCAGTGTTTACTTGTGCTGTCATACTCGGCTGTTACAGAAAAGAAAGTATAAATATACAAAGCGGAAAGATGGACAACTTGATACAAGTTGGCGTACACTACGCAACGAGAGCACTCTATATACTAACTACATGGCCGTGATATGCTCGTCTGCGTTTAGGATCAGTATTTACTTATGCACATCGTCTTTCTGCGCGCTCTCTTGTCGTCAATGCGCGGGCGTCATGGGAGCTGCAGGTGACGGTTTTGCCGAAGTCTCCTGCAAGCCCGGCACGCCAGCAGTCGACTGCAGCGTCACCATGCTTGCCGTCTCGGCATCTTTGTTGAGCGAGAACGGTAGCGCGATGCCGCCGAGGAACGGCCGCTTGCCCGTCGAGCCCACATGGTTGGCGTCGCCAGCAGCTCTGGCCGCATCGTAGGGTGTCAACGGTTTACCCCGGCCAGGCTTTTCCGTAGCGGTGGCATCACTGGGCATGCCATTGAGCATGCTGTCGGTCATGCTGTCGCCATTCGCCAGCGTCGATTCCTCTGGCAGGAGAACTGCAATTGGAGTCGGTGCTGGTATCGGCTCATCCTGCCCGTCGGCTTGGTTCTCGTTCCGCACATATCGCCGGCGCGACCTACTGCGGTCATCTGCACGTGTTGCAGCTTCCTTTTCCTCTGGTGCAGCCGACTGATCACGGCCACGGAGCGACTTATCGGCCGCGGCCGGGTCCGCTGCCCCCTCCTTCGGCGCTCCCTGGGCATCATGCTCGTGGGCGTCCTGCTCCCGCTCAACCGTCGACTCGTCGTGCTTCGAACCCCACAGAGACCACAGGGCCAAACCGTGACTCTGCTTGCGAGGGCCGTGCTCGGTCAGGTCCTCTCCAATCTTGACCCAGCCGGCCAAGGCGCTCGGCGGCGGGTGCTCACCAGGACCAAACGACTCGAAGCCGACGGCAGCATCGCGGAGGCGCTTCTTAAGCACTTTGCTCCTGTCGCGAGAGTAACGGCTGTCCCACTGCTGCTTCGTGGCCGTCCACCTTCGAACAGGGCCTTCTTTGGGCACACCAACATATGCGGGGTTCTCGAGTGCCATTTTCGTGCCGGGCAGCTCTTCAGGCGGCGCGAGCGGATAGACGTCGCCGTGGCGAGTGACCCGCTGGCGAATCATGTGGTGTTTGAAAGGCGGGAGCGAGTCACCTGCCTTTCCAATATGCTGGCAAGGACCGGCACCAGCGTTCTCCTCCGTCTTAGTACTTGCTTGCGCATGGTCGTACGCGGCCGGAGCATGGGCAGCACCCCCTGAGGCAGTCGTGTCGGTATGAGCAGGACTAGGTGAAGCACCATCAGGGTCCAAATCCGAGCTCGAGGCCGAGATAACAGAAATTGCATCGTCATCTAAGATGTCTATCTCCGTCTTTTGCGCGCGTGCCAGGACCCAGGCGCCAAACTGCGCAATCGACCGGAACATGAACTTGGCCGGGCGTGTGAAGCTCAACGTCGTCGCCACATGGCACAAGTCGTCCCAGACCTGGAGCTGGACATCCGTGGGCGGGTAGCGCGCGATCTGGGCCTTGGCTTCTTCATCAAGGCTGGCCTCGGGGCCCGCGTACTTGGCCGGGTCGGCGCACTTGTGGGCAACATACATCTGCTCGTCTCGCAAAATCTCACCGCCGCCGGAGATTATCAACAGCGGACGGAGTCCACCAAGCGTGGGCTGCAGGGCCGGGCTGACAAGCGGATGGCTGAGCATGTTGTTGGTCGTGTACATGTGGATCTGCTCATTGACCAGAATTTCTTCGGTCCCGTCGTTCGCCACCAGTTTCAAGTTGTTGGCCGCAAACATGTTTAGCTTTGCCTCGTTCTCAGCAGCTTCTTCAGCTTCCGTAAGAGGCGGCGATGGGCACGCAGAAACGCCGCTCCCAGTACTGTTTTTGCCCTTTGTCGCATGAACCTCCGCTCGGGCCCTTTGGTTCATCTTGTCCACTTCCTCGAGAACATTGGCGCTCGGCGGAGGCCAGGATTTGGACGGTCGCTGGTGGAAACCGTAAGGCGGGATGTAGTCGAACGGCGCGTCGACGGTCAAGCTGGGGAATGAATGCGTCAGGTCAACCCAGGGGCTGATGAGGATTGCGCCGGCAGGAAGCGCAATCCCACGATCACGCAAAACGACGAGAAGCGACAAAACCATGCCGCCACCAGCGGAATCGCCAGCCAGTACAATGGTATTGGCATCGTTACCCTGCAGGCTGAGCAGGTGCAGGTAAGCGCCCAGGCAGTCGTGCAAGCCGCAAGGGAAAGGAAACTGTGGAGCGAGACGGTACCGTGGCGCAAACACGCGGGCCTTGAGCTTCCGCGCATGTCGTTGCAATTGATAGCGGTGCTCGTGAACGCTGCCCAGATAGTAGGCGCCGCCATGAATGTAGAACATGACACGTCGGGCAGGTTTGCCTCCGTCGTTCTTCTTGCGCTCGGTGTAATTGGACTTCATCTCGATCCATTCGGCCTGCAACGGACTCTTTGGTTTGCGCCACTGCCACCATTTTTTGCCGCCAACAAGGCGAAGGCCATCGGGGCCAAGTTGTGTCTGCAGTACCGTGGCAGCTTGGGCAAGGTGCTCGTCGGAGATTGTGACAATCTCAAGGCGGATCCAGGTCGGGGCCGGCACCCACTGAGCCATAAAAGCCTGCACCTCTTCGACAGTGTGGTGCGAGGCATAGATGAGAAAAGTGCGCACAAGATTCAGACCTTGGTCGTAAGGAAGGTGAGCCGTTGGTCGCTGACGCCGGGGAGTGCGGTTGAGGTACTATGAGAGGTGTCAGTGGCCACAAAGAAGGGGTAGACCTGCAGCTAGATGGATCCCGCAAAGGGTTCAGCTTACATGTGAGAAGAAAGTGGCAACAATCGCGGGCGTAACCGCCATAGAGACGGACAGCGTATTGACAACCATCGTCGCGGTAACGAGAAGACGAAATATGAGGCCACGATACCTACACGTAGTGCCAACGAGCTGCCAATGTCAAACAAATGTTTTGGTAAATAGGGTGTGATAGCAGACGATGCGGAGGAGACATCGTGATCCTCGGAGTCAGGTGCCTCGGTTGTTGCCAGTCGCGTCCGAGTGTCTTAGATTTCGATGGCTACGCAGCTAGGTTTCTCGAGTGTTGTTTTCTCCGTTTTGTCTTTCGTTTCGTTCTTTTATCCAATGCTGTCTTCGTCTTGTCTCCTTTTTGTCCTTGGTTTGCTGGCCTGGTCTTTCCTTGAGTTTCCCCTTTGCTGGAAGTTGTAGCTGTGCAATGTAGGACTTTTGGCTTGATCCTGGCATTTCCACAGCGCAACTGTTAGATCCAGTCTTCGTTAGTGATGTCATGGCAGCGCCGCAGGCCATGAAATTGAGTGGATCCAACGGATCCAGCGACATGCAGCGCCACGGGCGCACTGTTTTCAAGTTGGAGACGGACTAAGCCAGGCACGTTGGGGGACTGATCTTCAGGCATATCGCCCAAAACAACACCTGGACTCCCAAGTTTGCCAAATACAAAAGTATCCAGCAACGATCAGCATTTTCAGACAATATTTTAACATTATTTGCAAGAAATGGCCACGCTAAACGTCGTTCTAGTAGTCTGGTAGTGCTGTAACCGCCGTTTCTCAAGCGGATGGATTATTGATGTCGTCCAAAGTTTTCGAAAAGACGGATAGTACAGAGTAGAGTTGTCCGCTACCAAACCAGCTGAGATGGTAAACAGTTCCGCGTGTTATTGAATTCGTTAATTGTTCGGGTGGCGGCATGGCAGCAACCGTGGCAGCAACAACACAGCTACGTGGATCACAGCGGATGGGTAAGGTTTCTTCTCTAGAGTCCCTATGTGCTGAAGTGTTCGACTACACACTTTGTCTATAAAGTTGCCTGGGCGAAGACACATGTTAGCTTGGAAGTCAATAGAGGCAAGACAATGAAATCTTGAAGGTTGTCCTAGACACACGCAGTGGAGATACTCTAAAATGAATGTTCCTACACGAATTGAGACTTGACTCAGTGTGCTACTGTCGTCTAGGCGGGCCAACACTTTTACCGCACGAGATGCATTTCCGTGTAATTACAGATAACCCCGTAGAGAGTCATATCCCAGCGCCAGGTGCGGCAAATGCCAATGGGCACTAGGACATGACGGATGCCATAACGCATTCCTTCAAAGCAAGTTGGCCTGTGGGAATTTTCTGTATATCAGTGTGCCCTGGACCCGGACCCTGGGTTACAATGGCCGCGGCCAGACACATTGGAGAGCCTTGAATCACGGCGGGAGATGCTCACGTCCTACCATTGCAACGGCAACGCCAGTGTTGATTTTTGAATCAGAAGAGTCAGGACACTTACCACCTGTCCGTGAAAGCTTCAGATGTGTCATGTCCAGTTGATAGAGTGCGTGGCTTTTGTAGGGCGAAAACCCATTAAATAGGGGGAAGCTTGCAAAGCCCAAAGCTGTTGAGGGGTTTTCAACACAACTCTGTACGACATACGCAGTTGCGCCTTCTGTTTTGGGGCCGTCCGTCCCTTCCGTTTGGTTGCGTATAGTGCAGGTCACGACACATGTGATCAAATGAAGATGAGACTATTAAGTCGACTCACAAAGTGAAGATATTGCGAATTTACGTTCATCGAATCCTTTTGGCCCTACGGTTCTCGATTGATAGCAGAGCAAATTTGAAAAATGCATAAGCATGTCCACATCTCCAAATGTTCTTACATCCTCCAGATTTGTCCATAACAATGACGAAATTACACTTACAACTTTGGCCCTACTACGAAATTAATTTTTATTATTTTACAAAGCCACAAAATAACACAAAAAAGGAATGCAATAATAGATACGATTAAATTTTCCACGCGACAATTCCTGCCACCTTGTCACAGTTGCACCACTCCCGAGGTGCCGGACACGAGGGAGGACCTCGGTGCATCGGTATGTTGAGCCCGAGTCTCGCAAAGTCGCTCCGTCTAAGGCGAGCCCAAGGTCAACTGTGGGTCGTTTCCAGATCTTCCTCCAATCATTCTGCCATCCAGCAAGCGTGGAGTGGACTCTTGGTACAGCCAAAGCCTGTGGGGACTCATGGATCTTGCCACAGCGTCAGGTTCAAACACCACCAAAAAAGGAGGAGTCTCCAAAACCTTCTCCAAAAAATGGAAGAAAAGTAAAGCGCAGGCAGGAACGACCCAGTGCTCGGGGCATCGCTATTCGGCATTTCCAGTTACGGCATAAGATACATCCACAAAAGCGTATAAGTTGATCACACGGAAAGAGCAAATAACGAGAAAAACCAGAAGTGACGAGCCACGAGGCGCCACGGTGGTTTCTTGGGACGATTGCGTCCTTTTGTCCTTTGTTCCTTCCCCAGAACAGCTGTCAAATCTATCCCCTCACCTTCCGGTCCTCTTTTACGACATCCTGACCTGTTTGTTCTCCAAATTTATTTTCCCCTTCTTTGTTCCTTTCTAAATTTTGAGACAGCTAAATCGATCTCGCCATCCGGCACGGCTTTGCCTAGCTGATCCGTTCCTCAAGCGCCAGTTTTGCAACCAGCCTTTGTCCTCCTGCACGAGCATTTGCTATTTTGTACTTACCCCTGCCGGACTTTCGCGTTTGCGCGACCCCAAGAGCTAGGAACGGGCTGGCTGCGAGTGACGTATTCAATTCTAGAATTCTAGCAGTGCAAATCACAAAAACAGCGAATCTTTGTTCTTTTACCTACAAAACGACGACGCCACTTACAACCGACGACGCCGCTCCTCCTCACTCACGTGCCGCCACTAAACGGAAGTAACGGTCGCTGCAATTGAAGGCCGCTGTGCCATTCCGTTCCGATATACCTCCGCGCCCCCCGGGTCTTTTCTTCTCCGTTTTTTTTTTTCTTCTTCACCATTTTTAAGGCCGTCGTTGTCTACTCTCCTTCATTGCCCGTCAAACATCCAGAGTCTTCCGGTACCAGTTGCCACGATGGCGGAAAACAACAGCAACGTCGTCGAATTCCCCACCAACCCCGCCGTGTATCAGCGGAAGCCGAGACGACTTCGCATCGACGAGCTGGACGAGGCTGCGTCTGAGCTGGCCACCGCAACTGCTTCTGAGCGTACAACTCCTCAGGCGGAGAGATTGCCTGCCGATCTTTTCGTAACGGACGAAGAGAAGGAACGGAAATGGTTCGTTGGCAGCATCGACCAGGGCACTACGTCATCACGGTTTATCATCTTCGACGGTGATGGTTCTCCCGTTGCCAGCCACCAGCTCGAGTTTGAGAACTTGTATCCCAACTCAGGGTGAGTGTGATTGCCATCGCTTCCAAAGGGAACTCGGTTCCGACGCTCCACTGCCAAATAACTGCTAATGGGTCTCTTCCTTCAGATGGCACGAGCATGACCCAATGGAGCTCCTTGCCTCCGTCACGACGTGCATGGAGAAGGCTGTCGAGCAATTCGTCGAGAAGGGCCATTCCAAGCAGCTCATCCGCTCTGTTGGCATCACGAACCAGCGCGAGACGACTCTTGTATGGGATTCAGAGACCGGTGAGCCACTGTACAACGCCGTGGTGTGGCCCGATACACGCACAACCGGCCTCGTGCGTCAATTGAAGAACGCCCCCATGGCCGACACACTCCTGGACCTCTGCGGTCTGCCGCTCTCGACATACCCAAGCAGTGTCAAGTTAAGGTGGCTGCTAGACAATGTCGAAGCTGTACGCAAGGCCTCGGAGGAGGGCCGGCTGGCCTTTGGCACGGTCGACTCCTGGCTCATTTACAAGCTCAACGGCGGCCCCACCGGCGGCCACGACGGCAAAGGTGTGCACGTCACCGACAGTACAAACGCCAGCCGTACCATGTTCATGAACCTCAAGACTCTCAAGTACGACGCCCGCCTGCTCGCGTTCTTCGGTATCGACCCCGCAAAAATCCAGCTGCCACGAATTGTACCCTCGTCCGATGCGGAGGCATTTGGCTCCATTGCCGAGGGCCCTCTCGAGGGCATTCGCATCGCTGGCTGCTTGGGCGACCAGTCCAGTGCACTTGTCGGGCAGTGCGGCTTCCATCCGGGCCAGGCTAAGAACACCTATGGCACGGGATGCTTTTTGCTCTACAACGTCGGTACTGAACCCGTCATTTCGAAGCAAGGTCTGTTGGCCACTGTTGCCTACGACTTTGGTCACGGCACCAAGCCCATCTACGCTCTCGAAGGTAGTATTGCAGTCGCCGGCGCCGGTGTCAAATTTTTGACAAATAACATGGGATTCGCCAAAGAGTCGCACGAAATCACTGAACTGGCCGAGTCAGTCCCGAACAACGGCGGCGTCGTGTTTGTTACGGCCTTTAGTGGTCTTTTCGCACCGTACTGGATCGATGATGCCAAAGGCACTCTCTGTACGTAGCTGCCTGCTCTTCATCATGTCCGTATCTTACTTTACTGACCTTGTCTCCACCCACAGTCGGCCTTACCCAGTTCACGAAGAAGGCACATATCGCCCGGGCCACCCTTGAGGCTACCTGCTACCAGACCAAGGCCATCCTTGACGCCATGGAGCGCGACAGCGGCAAGCGCCTCGAGAGCTTGGCCGTTGACGGCGGCCTCTCCAACAGCGACCTGACCATGCAGTTCCAGGCCGACGTTACCGGCATCCCTGTTGATCGTCCCGCTATGCGCGAGACGACGGCTCTGGGTGCCGCTATTGCTGCCGGCCTTGCTACTGGTGTGTGGAACAAGCTGACGGATCTTCGGGACGTCAACCGCTCCGGCCGCAAGATCTTCCAGCCGTGCGAGGACCGCGCCCCCATTGGCCGCATGGTGCGGAAGTGGGAGCAAGCCGTGGAGATGAGCCGCGGCTGGGTGCTGACCGAGGCCGACGCCCAGGAGGAGGCGGAACGGGAAGAGGCCGACAAGGCCCTGGCCAAGGAGACGGCTG